CCTATTAAAATTTTAGTAGCAACAAAGACACAGCACATCAAATATCAATTATAATGAAAAACCACAGTATATATACAAGGATTCTTCAACTTGTTCTTTGATGTGGGTTTTCGAATCTGAACAGTATCCAATCGTATGATCTCGTGTGAATGAATGACGTAGCATTAGCATGTCAACTAACCAACGAGGCTGACAAAGAAAAACGCTGGCTCAGGAGACAAGATTTTCCACGTGCTCAACTTCGTCGCTGGTAAGTGAAGTATTATTTATATTTTTTATCTTTCTTTATCTATCACAGATTTCATCCTACAGCAGTAGCCTCTGATGACTTATGCTGTCGAATGCCTTTGACAGGTCGAGAAGAATTAGTGCGCTAATTTTCTTCTTATCCATTGCTTCTAAGATAAGGTCGGTGCTGTAAATAGTCTCGGTTGAATGGAATGGCTTATTACCGCTTTGATTAGAAGAAAGGCGGTTACGAGAAATAAGATAAGTGCTGAATTGCTCCAGAGCATCTTCTCACAGACTTTTGAGGCAAAGTTCAGAAGGGACAATGGACGGTTGTTAGATGGTTCTTCGTGATCTCCTTCTTTAAGGAGAGGGATGACTTCTGCGTTCTTCCAGTCAGATAGTGGAAAATTCGAAGTATTAAAAGAACGGTTGATAATCTCCGTGAGGGGACCCAGCCTTTATTGCCTTTATTGCCTTTATACGTACGCAAACTCTTGTCTCAAAAGATGTARACAAAGAAACAGTAAGCTTAATGAGAGTCTAGCGGCGAACAGAAAATGAACAAAATATCGTTGTTGTTTAGAAGCTTATAAACTGTTCAAGGGAAATTAGTTTTCGATGGGTGTATAGAACCTCAATTCTGTAAACCAACACTTGGACTGTACTTGAAAATACTGCCTATTGGCTCAGATGCACGAATTGTTACTAAAAATGTCTGCTTTAATACAATGAACCCGGCGACGACAGCCCGTGTTTACACTATAAATTTTTAGTAGCCTGAACACATCGGATTTTGAAACGCTAAAACAGGGTATTGTTAGTTGTAGCTATAAATTAACTATCAATGGTTATACTAATTGCAGCTTGAAAAGGTATGTGGACATGACAACTTGCTTCTCGCGTCACTGTCTAGCAAGATTTCTCGCTCTTGGATCATAAGTCCCACTTTCAGTAATAAAAAAAAGGAAAACAGGATTAACTTTTTGCTTTGATATTTCGACAACAACAAAAAAGATGATGCTCATAGGAAATACTGCAATAATATGGGGAAAAGCAACGATCTGTGCATGTGAACTTTTCAAAGTGTGGACACTTTGAAACCAAGAACAAGCCAGCAGCACTGAGTTGAGAGAGACTAAGAATTTACAGAATTACATTCTAAAGTGACTTTATAAAGGAAACCTATGATTGAAGCAGGCATGGTTCTGTTGAAGATGTTCTTAGAACGATAACGCGTGTTTGTCATTGCATGCCTCACCGTTCTTACCGACGATAAAAAAATACAAAGCTTATCTATAGAATTTTCCAGGTATTTCAGAGAGCAATATTTATCAAAAGTTCAAGAATCAATGGTGGTTCGAATAGGCCGGGTTCAAACATCTGAATGTAAGGACCACATGGCACTATGATATACACCAAGGGTGTTCTTCCCGGAGAAAGACCCTTGGAAATAAATTCGGAGACCAAGGGTCTTTGTATAGGTAATAGCATGTTTTGTAGTGGTTTTGGGATGAATACCACGTGTGATAGTTCAAAATTGTTAAACAAAATTTGTGACAATTTTGAAATATCACAAGTGGTATTTATCCCAAATTCCACGTACAAAACATGCTATTATCTTTTTTATAAAATGTTTGAATAAAATTGTGCAATTATAAAAAATAAAAATACCACTATTAAGGATAAATACCACTCCTCTAAGCCAATCAAATTGCACAATTTTATTCAAACATATTTTAACTCCCGGAATAACCTTCTTCCTAGCACTATAACTTTCCTTTATTTTTATATCGGGTTCAAACATCGAGCTTTTGACGCGTTCAATCAGACTAATACTATTTTTGGCGAGAAGTTTTCAATTTACTTAAATCAATTGACGTTTAAAGGCCCAGTGTGCACCATTATGCTTTGGGGCCTGAAGGAGGCCATTTTCAGTTTACCGAAAGTCTATAAATTATACTGTGCGTTTCGAATCTTTGACCATCTCACTTTTCTAAGTACTTTAAACGCTAATATTAGAGTTTTTTAAAAACCATGTGACATTCGTTTTGTGGTAATATTTGGACACTAGACCTATTTTGGTGTAAATCATAACAATAACAGAGGCGCGCAAAGCATAATGGTGCAAACTGGGCCTTTAAACAGGAAGTTCCGGTATAGATAGCGCGAGCCTTGCGTCATCCAGCTTCATGGCTGCCTATTTCATGAAAAAAAAAAGTTTCATGGTTGCCTATTTCATGAAAAAAAAATGGCGGAAAGCGCGACTCTCCTCGCAAATATTTTGCAATAAATAAAAAAGTTTAAATTACATCGTCAAAAGTATCTGCTTAATCGCTTATAAAAATAAATACCTAATGATATAAGATGAAAATTATACGAATTAGGGACTGTGCAATAATTACCAGGATGGGGCGTAAAACCAAATTTCTTAGTTACTTATGTAACGTTTTTATGGTCAAAAACGACTTTGATATTACTTGTGCTTGTTACACTTCTTGGACAATTTTTAACGATACATTCACTGAAAAATTCCAAGTTTTTGCATGGCAATGGATGTCTCTTTGGTTTGTCTAACTCATTTCACTATAAAACAATCATTCAGAGAATTTTAGAGGGCTGCTCCCCCACAACAAAAGATGTTGTGTTTACATTCCTTGAAACAGCGTACCTCTACTAAGGCTATACTTGAGTAGATAATCATTGATTCCCTTCTATGTGATATTTAAAAAACGAGTAGGAGTGTTTTATCGTGAGATATGATATAAACACGAGGCCGAAGGCCGAGTTTTTATATCCACGATAAAACACGAACTACGAGTTTTTTAAATGACTTCTAAAACCCAAACCTAAGAAACTACAATAAACATGAAATAAATAAAAAAATATCAAAAATGAATAATTGATGAGATATCTCCATCTGAGCATGAGCAGTAATCAACTTGGTTTCCCACATCCAAGCGCCACTATGTTTTAGTGTACTGTGACTCTGCAAATAAGTAATTTTAACTCGAGACCTAGTGAAGTTCTATGATGAGAGTCTAAAACTGAGAACTTTTCTAGTGTTGGGCACACATCGTGTCTGTAAATCAGTTACAACACTGATGTTTTATGCATGAGTGTTATAACTAACTGAACCGATTAGTTATAAAACTCATGTTTAATTAATCAGTGTTTATAACTTGAGTTATAGATCCTGTCATGTGACCCATAGTTGAATGGTCATTGGAAGAATGTCCCATGAATAATTCATGAGTTTTAGAATTAAGAAATATAAAACGACGCGTGTGTCTCTGTCCTCTGATATAAACACGGTGGGAGTTCGAAAAACACGAGAGAAGCAAGCTTAGGAACACGAGCGTAGCGAGTTCGAAAAACACGAGAGAAGCAAGCTTAGGAACACGAGCGTACCGTGTTTATATCAGAGGACAGAGACACAAGCGGCCGTTTATATTTCTTTTATAACATTTTTCGAGCGAAAAGCAAATTTTGCCGCTAAGCCGTGTCTCTGTCCTCTCATATAAACACGGTCGTCAGCCAATCAAAGAGCGCGTTATATATCGAAAATGTTATAAATTGTTATTGGAGCTCCGCTATTAAGTGTTACCTAATTTTTTTTAGCATTATGCATCGATGGACTAATACCGCCTAATGCACGGAAGTGAACACAATTCAACCTAAGAGTCCAAATCAGCGAAAAAATACAGTACATTTTAAAGCAAATTATTATTGAAAAAAAGTCAACGGAGAAGGTATTCATCCAGACCAATAAAGAAAGAGGTAATGCAATCAACTTACACAAAGACCCAGAGATATGTCAGAAAAGAGTTCCTGAGGGATGACTAACTATTTCAGCCAATTCATCAAGTCTTGTGCTGCAATTTGCGAACCTTAGAGACACTTTACAAAGCAAACAGTTAATGTAGTAGTGACTTGATTATGAACTACTTCTGATCATAAGAACGAAATTGACCTAGTTGATATCTATTGTTTTGCATGACAATAGAATCTCTGCTGAATAAAAGAGTATATTACATGCATTCGAGGTTAATGCTTTAAGTCCATACATTATTTTTTTAAATTTTCATCTTAATTGTTGTGTTTTCGTGTGTTACTCCGCTTTGTATCGCGGGCGCACATATGTCATAATATGCGAACAATAAAGAAATCGATTCGGAATAAAAACATTTCTCTGGAATTACAGCTATCAATATGGACACACTAACTTTCAAGCCGGCAGCATAGTAACTTGGGAATAGTTCCGAGGCAGTAGCCACAAAAACTAGGACAGAACTGGTTTATAGCACACGATCAACGCTTGTATAAAAAAAATACTCGCGCTATACAAGGAAACGTAATTAAAACCATATGTTTTTAAAAGGCTAAGTAATGATATCTTAAATTTAGATTCTTACAAGAAATAAACCATACACAGATTTATGACTAGAATTAGAAAAAGGTAGGTAAAACCAGCAACAGAATGTGTGCTGCTTTCGCTGAATGAAAACATTTTCATCTTCGTCGATTCATGGCCAGAAATTCCGGACATTTGAGCCCGGGACGAGTCAGCGGGTTTTCCCACCAAAATAGAGCTTTCTACAAGTTCCCTTGACAAGGTTTGAACTTTTGAAGATCAAATTTTCTACTCTTGTGCAACGATCCTTTATCTTAATACAATACGTTCAAAACATCGACAAACGAGTATTGGGATAGCACGCCCTTATCCTTGAGTTAATTATTGGCTTGTGAGGTGGTCGTTTGGAATGTTCATAGTGTAAATAATATTTTTTGCTGGAACACACGTTTGCCTCAGGTATTTTAAACAATGATCATCAGTTGATATTGTGATCTTTTGTTTATACTTGTACATTTCTAAGGAATTTAAAAGGTCTGACATTGTTTACACTAAATAGCGTAGACTTGATTGGTCTATCTTTCGTTCGTATTTCCCTCTTTTACCAGTGCGCGCAAGGCGCCAGTAAAAACCGCCAAAATTAAAGCAATCCCAGTCTGAAAGCCACGTTTCTAAGGTCAATTTTGGTACCAAACATGGCGAATAAAATGGAAAGAAAATGGAAGATCGAGGCCAATTATTCGCGTGAAACACGAGTCTTTGCCAGCCATTTCACCGTCAAATTGTACGATTTCTAGTACCAAAAAGGACGCTATTTATCGTCTTCAAAATATCTGAAAATCGCCGTGTTTCTACCTCAATATGTGGCCTTTGAGAAATGATCTTTGAAAAATCAGTGACATGTAAGGAAACATGATCAGCTACGGTGAAATTTAGCTTCTTCGCGGATTTTCACCATGAGATACAAGGGCAAAGAAGACTACGAAAGGCAAAGAAAATTGTCAAAAAGGACGCTCTTAACAATATTGTATTTATTAGGATTTCCTACWGTGGAATCAAGAATAGTTTCCCTCTAGGAATTCATCTTAGAAAACTTACCGGGTAAAACAGATCAAATGTTATATTATCAAATAGTTTTTTTTCCGTACATTTCTTTGTAAAATTTAACAAACATGTTTTATGCTTTCTGCGAAGTACCGCTGCTATTGCGGGCTCGTATGTCCGGATTTTCTGGCCATGTCACTGATTTGAAGTAAAGCTTTATGTTACGTTTCCTTTCAAAAGTTGTATGGAAATGATATCAAGATGAGATTTTTGAAAAACTGCAGGAAGATACTTGCTGAAAGACTTTGTTTTGACACTTTAAATGATGTTTGATTAGCCGCTTCGACGTGCCGGCACTTCAGCATCACCGACGAAAAAATTCACAAAGCCACAAATAACATATGAAAGCATTGGTCGTATGAACTCCGTTTCATGGATAAGAAGGTGGAATTCATGTTCATAGAGATTTTTTATTGAACTGATATCAGGTAACAATATCAAACTGAAGATAATTTTATGTGAGCGATGCAAGAACTGCAATGACAACAAGCCGTACGAAAAAATTCCCAAAGCTACAAATAAAGACCTTGGTCGGATAAATTACGTTTAATGAATAAGCTGGTATTCATGTTTTTAGGTTGAACTAGTAACTTGTTTATCGTGTACTAGTAGGTAACGAATTTATGAAGAGACTCATTATGAACAATCGTTGAACTGAAAGAAATCTCGATTCTCAAGCGAAAATCGACAAATTCTTGTACTACTTTTCTAATGTAGTATCTCAATAAAATGCAAAGTACTCACTAAATTCCTCAATTTTTAGCTTCATAGAAAAATGTAACTTGCTTTTCACACGTTATTTACAATAATAAAGATGCGGTTAAGCTTATTACGTTTTTGATTTTTTACTTCCAGTTTCAAGTTGCTTCGTTTATTTATAGTTTATACCGAAGATTCTATGCACTCAAAACCTACAAGAAATAGTAAAACTTTATGCAGAATACTCATAACTAGTTGTTGCCAAGTTTTCGGATACCTTTTTGTATAAATAGCTGATTTWTTTCCTATTCTACTTCTAGTTTTGAATCGCACTTGACAAAAAATGGTGACGTCAAAACCATGTTTACATACTCTGATACAAACACGACAGTCGGCCAATCAGAACGCGCGTAGTATCGAAGTTATTTTATAAATAAGGTTTGAAACTTGAAACATATCAAATTCATTACATACAAAAGCTTGTATCAAGTTCAGGTKATCACGCCCCCCTTTGAATATTGGCCAAACGCAGGAGAATATTCAAATGATTTTCCTTCGTTCCATTATCAATAATATAACTGTATAAACAAATTAAATAAATTTACAAATTGCATTATTTACATCTTTCTTCAAATACTCATTCGCAAGAAAAAATAAGAGCGCTGGTAATTTTGTATTTGCTGAAATGATACATATAGTTTTTTATCGTGAGCTTGATAATTTTGTTATTGAGAATATAGATAAAGAACTAGTAGGGYAGAAGAGAAAATTAGAAAAGGCATTGGCAGTCTGGACGCTAATTAGAGCAAATTTCAAGTTTCAAGTTTGCAACTAATGACTTTGATATGCTTTCCAATTTCCTGTGACGTGCAATGCAACTTAACGGAAGTCAAAAACTCCACATGATACATAGATACACACTTTGTCAAAAGACCAAAGCCTAGATTAGAGTGCTAGCAGCCTGACAAACTCTCTTACACAATTTGTTATGAAAGACAGAAKGAAAAGCAGTCTGGTCTAAGCTTAATAAATTGAATCATACCTGCACAAAAAGTTGCTCTAGCTCTTTTGTTTTCTTTTCAACCTTTTTTTCGAGGCCTTCCTTTTCTGCCTTATTCAATCAATATATGCAAAATGTAAAGCAAAAACATAATGAAAAATAAAAATAAATTGGTTTGAATAGAATGCCATATAAAATGTACAGTCAATAGTACCCTTTCAAACTCATGCCAAACTGTAATGCTGAGTTCCTAAATGTAATTTAGAGTAGTTTCACATGAAAATAATCAAATAAGTTATCACTCATGACAGCTAATAACCACCAGTCATCATTACCTTCATTTGCTGTTCCTCTTGGCTGTAACCTAACCAATTGATATTTCTTCCATTTCTTGATATGATATCCATGGCTTGAAAAACATTAAGAACATCGTATATTCTTCGTGTAGCCTTTTCCTAGTAGGAAAGTAATTTGTTGCTGATAATCGCAATTGATAAAATAGACATCATTTCAACATACTGTACGAATTTAAATAGAATTAATGTTGGCCAAAAACGTAGCTCGAAGTATCGTCAGGATAATTTAATACGTTCCGTATATTCGTGCGCCCATGTAATATCCTCTATTTTCGTATGTATTTTAAATGAGGTTTTTATTTGATTTTTCCTGATTTTATTTTCCTTAAAAGATTATGGAAAAAGTGTTTTTTTTATGTTTGCAATTTACCTTATCAGTGCCATTATCTATCTCATCTAGAATCTKAAAAGAAATGAATCTGTCATTAGAATTATTTACTTGCCAATCAATTACTTTATTTTCATTTGCTATACTATTCACATTTGTCAGATTCCGTTTATTGTAAAGCATATGAACAACACAACATTTATACGGACATTTTGTGGCTAAATTAATTCGAAATGAAATTCTAATTTTCATTAAAAAAGGTGAATCAAAGTTTTAAATTTAAACCAAATAATAACAATACACATTTTTTACCTCATCAAAAGTGGCCGTTCCTTTTCTCTCAAGTATTTCACAAACCAGTTTCCCATAAGTGCGCAGTCCTGTAAACGAACGAGTGCTCGTATCTCTGCAGAAAACAATGAATAAAAATAAATTCCTGCATAGTTTAGATTCAATTAGATGAACTCGATTAATCACACTCAATACATGACTTTCAAAAATGTCCCGAATTGAGAGATTAGAGACGAAACACAGAAGCTTGTTTTCAAAGGGTAGCCTTCTTTAACACTACCACTCGTGCAATTTTCTCAGTGTTTGAATGTAATTAGTCTTGCTCTAAATAAAGTCAATGGCATAGAATTGGAATTAAAACAACTTGGCTTATTTTGGTTTCGATAGAATCGAATGCGACCAATTAGATCGAGTGCATCGAGTTAAGATTTTAATAATAGGCTTGAGATAACGGAAATAGACTTCAGTCATAAACTGCATTGAATTCAATACTCCATTTCCGAATTCAAAGTGGATAACCACTGTTTTTCATCACAGATTTTCTTGCGCAAAGACCACACCAAACTCAAAGAAAAATGAAAAATGTTGTAACTACAATAGTCATAACAGTTTGTATTAAGAGTTGAGCCTGACCCTGTATTCCCAGATTGCTTGAGCCTTAGAGCTTCTGGGAATATAGGATTAGTCTCAAT